TGTCCTGTTGCCGCACTAAAACCTTGGGAGCGCCGAAACTTGCAAGTCCGGGGCGCTGGAGTTTTCTGGTGTAGCCGTGCCAAGCCGTGCTGCCAGGCTTCCCAGTGGCCAGCAGAAGGGAGATCGTGGCAAGAGCGATCTTTTTCCCCATACCCTCTCTGGCCCTTGAGCTCAATGCCTCTTTCTTTGTGCTGCGAGCAAAAGCGCTGGCGCACGTGGAGAGGAGGAGGGGAGCAGTCCGGCCCCGCCTCCCTCTGGGGCGATGGCGCACGTGCCCACAGGGATGGCTCTGCGTGCCACCTGTGGCACGCGTGCCATAGGTTCGCCACCACTGCTATAGATAAAGACTTTTTCAACCTTGACAAATACCAGCTGTGAGAAGCTCAGCTATGTCCTATACCCAGTTATAAAATTATTTTCATTCTCTAACTTTAAAGCCCTCAACTTAACACACCATCAAGAGAATATGGATGAAGACCAGGAACAGATTCTTTTTATGTTGAAAGCAATACATGAAACCATTCTTTCAGCTTGTGATGAAATAAGATGCTACAGAAAAGAACAAGATGTCAGCCTAGATATACAAGAATCAACTACGCAGAATATAACAGAAGAAGTGGAACAATTAAATACTATGATAAGAGGATTCAACTGATCAACAAATATAGTCAATGGAAAATCCAAAAAAGGGACTGACAACACTGAAAATGGAAAAGACTTTCTATATAAATCAGAAGAAATTTGAGGAGCAAGAAGAAGAACAGACCGAAGGGAAGAGAAACGTATCAGGACAACCATGGGATTTGGAATAATAGAGAGACGATTCGTTAGCCCTTCCAAAAAAAATGGCGACTGGATGGTCTCTCTTATTTCAAATAATATATATAACAACAGAGGGAGATCTATTTGATGACTTAAAAGCACTGACATGGAAGGCGAGATGGCAAAGGAAGAAAGCTAGAATAAGGCTGAAGAAAATTGGGGTTTTGATTTATTAGGATTTTATATTACTAATTAAAATAGAATATACTCAAATAGGCAAGATGTGTATTTTGAATACTAGATTTTGTTATGAATTGAGATAAAGAAAACTTTGGTCACTTAAAACTTGGAAGTATAAATATTAAAAGTTAAATTTGAATATTGATGGGAAATTAAAAATTGAGGAAAACAAATAAATAGGATATTGAATGTCTATAAAGATTGAATGTAAAAGTAATTAAGATATGTATAAGCTAAAAATTTATTGATAAATGTAATAAGCATGTTTTTACTTAGTTGATATAATAAGAACTGTATTAGCTTAAATATGAGACAGTAGATATTAAGGGAAAAAGAGAGGAAGTATTTGATGTTGAAATAAGGGAAATTTTGGTCATTAAATTTGGAAATTAGTTGAAAATAAGGATGTTATATTGTATTATTAACTAGATGATGCAAGATGGTGGGAAATAGAATATACTTAAATAGATAAGATGCGTATCTTGAATATTAGACTTTGTTATGAATTGAGATAAAGGAAACTTTAGTTACCTAAAACTTGAAAATTATAAATATCAAATGTTAAATTTAAATGTTGATGGGAAACTAAAAATTGGGAAAAACTAATAACAGGACATTGATTGTCTATAAAGATTGAATGTAAAAGCAACTAATATTACCCAGAAATAGAGCAGTAAAGAAGAACTACTAGACTAGTGATGGCGAACCTTTTAGAGACCGAGTGCCCAAACTGCAACCCAAAACCCACTTACACATCGTCAGGTGCTGGGTCGATGTGGCCCATTGGGTGGGCGTGGCTGCGTGGTAATAGCAGACTGGGTGGGACTAAAAAGTTCAATCAATCAATTCCAACTTTGCAAGATCTTTTTTTTTTCCTGCGAGAAGTTGAAATTGACTCATTGATTGAACCTTTTTTTTTTGTACACGGCGGTGGAGGCCGAAAGCGAAAAGGTTTTATAAAACCCAGCTGAAGGCCTAGGACTGGGGCGATGGCATGCGTGCCCACAGAGAGGGCTCTGAATGCCGCCTCTGGCACCGGTGCCATAGGTTCACCACCACTGTACTAGACCATGTGGTAGGGGCAAAGCTCTAAGAAGTTTTGGTGGCTTCTCCAGTTCTCATTCCTGGCCACTGTCTTGTAAGTCTTCTGTGTGGTTTGGTCCTACTGCTGCAGTAGGAGCAGCAGCAGTAGGAAACAAATATCTGCATGTCTCTCCTCTTATTCTTCTCCCATTCATCCATCATTTGCCACAGCCCAGGAGGAGGCTTAGCACCTGAGCTCTCTCACTCACCCTATCTATGTGACCCCTGCCTGAAAGATTCATCTCGAGGGAGCAGAAAGCTCTATTTACATTCCTCTTAGCAACTAAAGCTCCATACTTCTAGGGAGAAGAGGGTAAAAGACAAATCGTAATTGTTCCAGTTTAAGTCCTAAAGGCACAATAAGAAGTAATGGATAGAAACTAATCAAGGAGAGAATCAACCTAGAATGAAGGAGAAATTTCCTGGCAATTAGAAAAAATAATCAGTAGAACGACTTGCCTCCAGAAGTTGTGGGTGCTCCAACACTGGAAGTTTTTAAGAAGAAATTAGACAACTATTTGTTTGAAATGGTAGGTTTCCTGCTTGAGCAGAGGGTTGGACTAGAAGACTTCCAAGGTCCCTCCCAACTCTGTTATTCTGTTATAAGTCTATTGCTAATGTTCTTTTTGCAACACATTACTGTCTACAAAGAAAATGGGTCCTGCAACTATAGTGGCAAAAGATGTACAATTAGAGTTTGGAGAAAGGAAGTGATTATGATAGGACTGCCAATCTGTACGGTGGCATAAGGCCAATAAAAGAGAAGAAATGAGTCATAGCCAAGAGCAATGAATAAAGAAAAGGGACTCAGATTAATAAGGATCTAGCAATAGCTTAGAGCACTACAATCTGCCGCGCCCTGCGAGGGGTGCCTTGACACAATCTATTAAATCTTTACAACATATCATAGAAAATGCAATCCGATTATACTTTATATTATCATTGTGATACAGTTTTCAGATAGTTTTCCTGAAGTGACATAACTCAGATATGAATAAAGCACAAGGAGTAAAACAATTTTTACACAAGGAGTAAAACTACTGCATTTATAACTTATATACTGATCTATGAAATCAGGACGTGCATTGGGTTTTTTTGAAGAAGTTCAGGAAATTATCATAAGTTATATTCAGTCATGACTGATGAAATTCCTCTTTCACTCTGGTACCCCCTTAACAGACCCAGATCTACGCAGAAGGATATTTTGAAATGTATCTGGAAAGCACACAGGATTCAGTGAGGAAGGTGGGGTAGAAACAAAAGGGAAGTACTATCTGCAAATAGAAATTCAATCATGTGATGTTGAATGTAGCTTAAGAGCTTCTGATTCCAAACATCCTTTTGAGAAAAGGGGAATAAATGACACAAATGTTCATTCAAAGCAAATATCCTTGCCTGTCTTTTATAAACATTGTGGTGCACTTAGCAGGAAATATTATGCAATTTCCATTTGTTCAATGAGGTCTGTACACTGCTAATGTCAAGTTCAGAACTGCTCCTTTATTCATCATTTAGCTAGAGAAGCTATTCATAATGTATAACAAACACTACTTTATGTATTACATCCATTATTAATATTTCATCCAAGAAGATATTAGCACTACCAAGCAGATCATTGATACCCCACATTGAAATATACTGAAATCACCAAACATACCGTGTTAGAATTTGACTCCAACTGTTGTGATGGATGAAACTGGTTGGACAAGACAGCCAAAATATCGTGAACTGCTGGGATGGTCTCACATCCACCACACCAAAACATAAAGAAGAAAACCTGTGGTTTAAACAGATAATGAATAGTGAGGTTACTGCACTTTTTAATGTTAAATAGCAAATCCAAGATTTCAATTAATAATCTTTTATTTAACCATGACTATTTTTTAAAGCACAGCTGCAAAATTAACTTGAATAAAAAGACTGAGTTACCTGATATAACACGGCACATCTTTTGATTTAATTTCAGCTATATCAGCATTTATGACGTGGGAAATCTGCCCCTAAAATGTATGAATCTAAAAAAAACAAAAGCAATGTTTTCCTTTTCTTTTGTCCGAAAGCAATGTCCATCCCAATTAAGATGGAATCCTTACCAATAACAGTGAGAGGATAAAGAGATACAGATTTCCATCTGTTGTCATCCCATTCCACCAGGTCACCCAGCGATGGTATGGAGACACTTCAACACTTTTCAGAGGTGGTTCTGTCTTGCTTTGTCCTTCTGGCTGGCCATCTGTTCCATTCAGTGGTTCCATTTCTGCTGGCTTGGAAATACCTTCAGAAATAAAAATGATACAATCAGGAGATAAGTACCTATGTATCTCCCGTGTTCCTACAGAAACAACACAGAATACACAATCAATTCTGAAGGTAAAATTACTACATGCCAAAGTAGTAATCACGATTCTTAAACACACTAGTAGGATGCCATGGAAGGCTCAGCTACCTTCCTTAGAAAAAAGAAGACTGGAAACAGTACTGCACTTTTTTTTTTCTAGAGCAACAAAACTGGGGTTTCCCCTTGTTTCCCTTAATCACTTGGACTGATTTAAAACATATGCATTCAGTCTTTGATTTTTCTGATTTGATACACTGTAAAAGATGAAAGGATTAATTATTTAACAAATTAAGGAATTGGTTTTAATTCCTTAAACCTTTTATAAAGATTATTTAAGGGCATCATTTCAAGATGCTCATGAAGAAAGTTATCTGAAAGTATTTCACAGGCTCCACAGTATTCACTTCAAAGCAGTTATGTTTTTTATGTAGCCTCATCAAACTAATGCCTACTGGGAAACTGAACATACCACACGTATATGGAGCTTTGATACCATTGTGAAAATGAAGCATTTCTGAGCCGTAATCTAATAATAGTCCCCAACACTAATGCCAATTTCTAAGAGCAAAACAGCTACACTGCTTCACTTTGATTTATTTTAGAACATGCCTTCTTTGGCTATTTGAACTGCTGGAAGAAGACTTGGCAATGAGGAAGAATGAAGCAAATCTTCAAGACAAACCATGTCTCCTGACTGCTGTCTCAACTATGTGGTAGAACTGTTTTCAGGCAAATCCAAGCTATAAATTCAAGAAAATATGTATGTTTAATTGGAATTTCACTTTGGGATTCAGCCACAAATCTGTGTGCCTAAGACTGCAGTCTTGCAGTGAAATGAAGCTTGATAAGATTTTATACCCCACCAGATTCACTTCTGAGCAAGCTCACAAAAGATTTGACTGTAAGTCTTGGAATGAAACCCAGCCACTACTTCTTCTATAAATGCACCAACAAATCCAAGAACAAACATCGTTCTCAATCCATGCATTTATTTCAGAATAAAGAACAACAGTTAGTTTCTACCTAAAGATCAAAGACACATAATTCACAATGGCTTTAGTGTACTTTCCCCCCCCCCAAAAAATCCATTATTAAAATATGTGTGGGTTACACATAGAAATGGATTGTGACTATCACAAAGGGAATCTGCTTGTTAGAAATTATCAACCTGAAATTAATATTGGCTAGAAATGCAAATACAGATTTCCTCTTCTCAGCTGAATCCATTTTCATTTTAATATGCTGAACGTTCTGCCTCAGTTCTCAGCCCTCTTCTCCTACCCATTCCCTCCCACAGATGGCCCCTGGCCCTGTCTGAGGGAACTGAAGAGAAGCCGTGTGCTAAAACGCTGGAGGAGAAGGCTTGATTTTAAACAGTCTCCGGTGAGTCACTATGTCTTTCCACACATTAATTTCCACATTGCGCCCACTCAGTCCAGCTGTCATTTCATATGGAATAAGAGATGGGGCAAGTAAAGCAACATTCTCCATTATTTAACAGAGGATGGCTTTTATGACATAGTGACATCTTAGCCAAGAGGATAGGTAGAAGAAGAATGACTATAGCTTTGGTGCCTGGTTACGTATTATACTAGTCTTTCCCGACCTCCAGACACATTGGAAGTACAGTTGTGTGGGACAATTCCTGTAATTATCAATCCAAATGACCAATTCTGGGGGCTGCACATGCATCTGGCATCTGGCTGAGGTAGGATCCTTTGCACACATAGGTAGACTTTTCCAAGCAGTGACTAAGGAGATAGATGAAGTATTACCCACTCTGACAGCCTTGCGGCATTCTAGCTTAGCAAACGATGAATGTACAGAATATGCTGTCAACTCCCACCTTTTTCTAACACTTTCTTAATTCACGTAAAGAAGATAAAAAGGGGGGGGGAAACTTTCTTCTGATTGCCTTCTATGGAATTATAAGGGAAAGAATTTCTTCTATAGAAGATCATGTGATCACATTCCCAGTTAAGATAAATGAAAAAACAAGACCTTTCCTCTACCAATAATACAATATTATAGAAAGAAGCCTGCTGTCAAGATGTCTTCCTCCCAGCAGCAGATTGGCATGGAGAAATACAAGTACAGGTAGTCCTTGATCTATGACCACGACTAAGCCCAAAACTTATGCTGATAAATGAGAAATTTGTTAAGTAAGTTTTGCCCCATTTTATGACTTTTCTTGCCACATTTGTTAATTGAATCACTGCCGTTGTTAAATTAGTAACCCGGTTGTTAAGTGAATCTGGCTTCCCCATTGACTTTGCTTGTCAGAAGGTTGCAAAAGGTGATCACATGACCCTGGGACACTGCAACCGTCGTAAATGTGAGTCAGATGTCATGCATCTGAATATAAATCACATGACCATGGGCATGCTGAAAAGGTCGCGTGAAAAATGGTAATAAGTCACTTTTTCCAGTGCCGTTGTAACTTCAAACGGTCACTAAATGAACTGTTGTAAGTTGAGGACTACCTGCAGTATAGTACTTCACTCTGAAGGACATTTAAACCATACTTGTATAATTAAATATGCAAGAAAACATGATGCTTCAATTTTACAAAGGAATCTGGGACATAATTAATTTGGAGCCAGAGACTTCAAGTGACATGTTATCATAGACTGGAGCATTTTGTACTTAAAATGTTTCCTAACCATGTCTTTATTAATAGTAAACAGCATGTAAAAGAAACAGCTGTGAACATCTGAGATGTTGAATCGTCAGATAGAGCCAAAATAAAAGCATACAACTTTAAGCTTACAGACCAGGTTTTTTTTTTTTTAATTCTTCACAACTTCAGTAAAGTAGACTAAATGAAAAATACAGTGAACTATCAATCATAATGACTTAAAAGTAGTTTGACCCCAATCAGAGGAATATCTGTTGGCATTGTACATGTCTATGATTACTGAACAAAAATTCTAACTTGTCTTCATTTTAAACACAATCCAGGAGAAAAATTTAAAATCTGAGTGTAACTCATATATCAATAACAAACAAAAGTTATAGCAAACAAAAAAAAAACTCTTTATAACTTTTCTAATAAGCAAAGACACCAGGCAAATTTGACCACTTTCTCTCTTATTATTTGAAATTGCTTCAGAAGTTTTAGCGACACAAATACTTAGGATTAAAGTGCAGGGGGAAGAAAAAAAGTTGAAATGCTATGCAGATGATGTGGTACTAATGTGCCATTATTCAATTACAGAGAATTATAAGAAAGTTCATGAAAATAAACATAGACTTTGGTGAATTCTCCAGATATAAAACCAGTGAAGAGAAAACAAAGTTAATAACGAGATATTTAATCCCAAAAGAAGAAGACTTTATGAAAAAGAATCTGGATATGAGATAAGAAAAAAAAATGGGTCTCTGTTTGACAGGAACTAATAAAGTCATATAGTATTTCAGAACAATTATAATAAATTATGAAAATAAATTTTAAAAGAATCTTGGAAAACTTAAAACTTTCTTCAGTGGGATTTATCACAACAGTAAAAATGAACTAAGAAAGTGGATAAAATCCAAAATAGAACATCAATCATAGAAGAAGCCAGCTTAGCCTATGGACTTCATCGGTCTTTATGCTGAAAGGGAACAAAAGAAGAAAACAATTTGAAAAGAAGTTTGATTAAAAAATATATGGAATATTTTAAAATCAAAAAGAAGTCCAGCAAGTTCTCTATTACCTTCATCATCAAATGTCATTTACTTTAAGGATAACTATTGTAAGAAAGATTTAATCATACAAGCCAATATCAAAATTCAGGAAACATAGGAGGAACTATTCAATGAAGGTAGGAATTTGCTTGATGTATTTACAATTGCTAGAAGACTAAAAAGTGATCTCAAGAATGAAGGAGGTATTTTGAAAAAAATCATAGAATTTGTAACTCACACAAAACTAAGATCATCTATTAGGAAAAATAAACGAATTGTTATTGAAATATGACACAAAAAAGATGGAACAAATAAAAAAATATGACAATGAAGTTAATGGTAATGTAGTTGCAATAATAAGGACCATGAAAAAAATTAATAAAATTTATCCCAAGTTATAATTTAAGGGAAAATTGGTAAAAACATTTACAGATGATACAGTATATAAATCCATCAATAATCATCAAGTTAGACAAATCATAGAAAAATAAATATTGGAAATGCCATAACAGAGAATGAACTTTTTATCCTATGTGGTAGTTGTGTAAAAGAATTCAAAAGTACTGGGGAAAAAGACATCAGCGTATTCAGAAATTCCTAAAAGTATTTTAACTAAAAATACGAAGATCCTTGTTAGGTAAAATATCACAATTTACTAAGATAAATGCTGACAGCTACAAAACCTAATCTGGTACAACATGGGGGGGGGGGAAGGAACTTTGTTGATTATATCAGATTGGGACACCAATATTGGAGAATATGCAGCAATGACAAAATTACCAGTATATATTCATAATAGAAGCTCAACCAATTTAATCAAAAATGACTCCTGTATATATCACTTATTATATAGCAGGGCAAATTTAGGCACTTGGAATATATTTTTGAAGGAATACAGGATGAGATCCGTCAAAACTAATAGGACTTAAACAGACTTTAGCAATAATTTTTCATTTTTAATGGAAAATATATTTAGTTTATGTTCAGCATAAACAGAAGGGGCAAATGTGCTTCTGGAAAGTTTTTCATAATATTTTTAATAATATCTTATGTATGCTTAGTAATTGTTCCCTTTGTGTTATTATCCAGTGTAGACCTTGTTTTCCATTGTATTTCATTGTTCTAAGAACAAAAATATCTTCCTTTTTTTTTTTAAAAAAAAAAATGAGTTTATTTTCTCAGCGAAGTTCATAGCCAGGTAGACTGCCCATTCCAACTTATGATGCATCATGTTATGTGGATCTAGCCAACTATATCTTA